GGGTCCTTTGTGGGGAGGTGCGGGGCTGTCCCGCCTCTGCCTCTTGTGCTGGCCGTCGGGAGGGGTTGCCGTGGCGTGCCCCCCCCCTGAGGTTGTACCAGGTTGAGTCGACGGCTCTGAGCCTGCTGGTGTCGGGGCCGAGGGAATCCCCCATGGAAACCGAGAGGATGATGTCGAGAACCTCGTCGGTTAGAGGAAGGAAGGGGCACGCTGGGCCCTCACCGCCAGAGATTCTTGCCATTGCGGATTGAAGGTGTGCGCAGGCAGTGTCCGCAGTGAGGGCGGCGTTTCTCGACAGGACGTTCCTGCCAGCTGAGTTCCTTGTGCCGATCGGCGGGCGCTGTGCCCAATATGCCCTAAAGGGGCTGAGAAAACTGTGGGATAGGTAGGCTCCGGTGAAAACCTGTCTGATGTTTTTCGAGCTGGAGCATGGAGGTGCCCCAGGCGATGGCACTGAGCACAGTCCTCCACCTTATTCTATCCGTGCACCCCAGTCCCTCCCACTGCGCGGGGGGGCCGAGGGAGCAGAGAGTCTCTGCTGCGCAGTTGAACAGGTGACTCCACTTGCGTTCCATACAGGGCGGGAGATACGCGCATGCTCTCGGGGAGTCGCCCCTTCCCAGCGGGTCATCGGGCGAGCTTCGGGGGACGCTGTCTGGTGGTGGCTTTCTTCTGTGAATCCAGGCTGGGCGTGTATCCTCAGCATGTGCCGTGCTCCTTGGCTCCTGGTTAGCTCGAGTGCCCTCGTCACACCTGCTCACCGGCCTGTCGTTCCCAGCCTGGGGCGTCGGCGCTGGGGGGGGCCCGGAGCCCTGCTCTCCTGGCTGGGGGGGCGGAGGCTCATGGGCAGGGGCAGAAGTGTGGGCTGGAAAGAGGTTGTCGTTCGTGCTGGCCGACTGTCCTCCTGTCTGCCGGGGGCTGTGCCGGGGGCTGTGTCTGTGGGGTCTGCATGTCTCCGCAGTCCACATTGCTGCGTTCTGCCTCAAAATCCTGGCTGGAGCCGCTTTCTGGTCCCGCAGCCGGACTGCTGCTCACAACGGCGCTTCCTGGGGATGTCGTAGGCGGCGGGTTGTCCTTGCTGCTCCTCTCGCTCCTGCGCCGCTGCTGCTTGTGCGCCGCGGGGCCAGTGGCTTGGTCGCGCGGACTCAGCTGCTGCGGTGGTCTCGCCTGGGCCGTTGGGGGGGGTGTAGGCTGAGGTCGGGGAGTGATGGGGGCCGCAGTCTGCGGGCCCCCGTTAGCGGTGCACCGCCCGGCTGCTGGGGATCTGCCCCTGGCTCTGCTGCGCGCAACCTGAGTCTGCTCCTGCCCAGCTCGTGCGGGTCGCGTCCTGGCCCCGCTTGAGGGGTCGCCGCGGTTGCCTCTGGGTTTCCTTCGCGGCCTGGGTGCTCTCCCAGGATCATGCCGGAGCCTGTCCCCCAGCGCAGCCCTCCTTAGTCTTCCGTCTAAGCTGTTGAGCCTCTCGTCCGTGCCCGAGGGCAGCATGCGTGTTGTATCGCTGTCAATATCCGCACCTCTTCTCCCCGGAACTTCGAGGCACGGGTGGTGGGCGGTGTAGGTCGGGTCGGGTTCGGGGGAGAGCCACTGTCAAAAGGGGAGCTGTCTGGTGACCTCTTATTTTATCCCAAGCTCGCTGATGAGCTGGAACACGTGGTCCCTGTCCAGTGTGCTAGGGTCAGCCAGCTGGAGAATCCATATGGCGGCGAAGAGGTCCCAGTTGTACCTCAAGATGGGTATGCCCTCTTCCTGGCGTCGTTGTTTGAGCACGAGTCTGGTCTGGATGCCTCTGGCCAAGTCGTGTGCGCACTGCTCGTCGATGCAGGCCTGGAACCTTCCAAGCATGCCCTGTGCGCATGTAACGGCATCACTCTCCGCCCTTACCAGTGCGTCTCCTGTCTCTGCTCTTACCCGGTTCCTGTGCGCGAGCACTTCTGCTCGGGAGGGATGCGCCCTTGGGCGGGCAGGGCGCGGGGGGGAGTCCACGGCTGCGCGCCTTCTTGGAGGTGCGGTCGCGCTGGGGGGTTGGCTGATGCCAATTCCCAGCTCCTCGAGTGTCGGGGCGCGGGCGGGGGTGGCATCTAGTTTGGCGAGGTGCACCGGCCCGTGTAGTGGTTGCAGGGGCGCTCTGGTCTGTGGACGGTCGGCACCTCGATTGGCCGATCTTAGGTCGGCCTCAGCGGGTAGCGCGATGGTGACCCACATGGGGCTGGAGGTGTACAGGTGGCCGCGTTCTCCGCAGGTGGTGGTGCACGCGGCCCCTCCCGCTGCTACAGCAGCAGTGAGGTGTTCCACTGGGTGGAGTATGGTGCTGTAGTCTCGCAGGCCGTCCCTGTCCTCCGAGGATCTGCGGCGGGTCGAGTTTCGCCCGTCCATGACTTCGTCTACCTCGCGCAACTATTCCTCGGGTATAGCAGGGGGGGGGCCCTCATGTTGGCTATGCCCTCCCTGCCGTCAGCCCCTTCGGGCAGTGGCCAGGCCCTTGTGCGCAGTCTGGTCCCGGATGATCCTATCGAGGCGGAGAACATCCGCAGCGTAGCGTGGCGAGGGATCCAGGGGTCTGGACGCATGGGCCTGGGGCGGGGGGAACCGACTTGCTCTCCTCGCCGGTCGAAGGCTTCAACTTCCAGTATTTGTGGCTGCAAGGCTCGTCTGGGGGCCTGCCGCACTGCCTCGTCCGCGAGTGCCTCAATGTGCTCCGTCTGTGCCCTTGGGATCCCTGCGTCTCTCCTGGTCTGCTCTCTCCTGAGGGGGTGGCTGGGAGGATCCCGACTGCCTGCGGTCCCACCGTGATGCAACTGGCCCCGCAGAAGGCGGCTGACATGATGGCAGCGGTGTTGAGTCTGACTCTCACCTGTGACATGTGATTGCATTCGCCTGTGTCGGGGAACCAGGCGTACACCGTGGTAACCTGCTCCACCGCTCCAGTACCCACAATGGCTTCGACGGCCTCGATTAAGTCCTGCTGTCTGGATTGCCCTATGTCTGCTATGTTCCACCGAAGGTGGAAGCCGTCTTCCGGGTCGGCTAGCCTGGCGAATGAGGGGCCGCCGTCCCAGTTTCCTTCTAGAAGAATTCTTCGGGGGCCGAGGGCCAGGGAGTTGCGCGCGGACCCGAATACTCTGGGGAGTTCGTCCTTGAGGTATCGCAGTATCGGGGCCGCGATTCTCTCTGGGGTCTTCAGGAGGAGCAATCCTCCCCGGCGAGGCCTACTCGGCATCCAAAGGCTGCCGCTGCGTCCGCTGCGGCCGAAACGGCCAGGCACGTGGCGGCGGCAGGGATGGGGATGTGCACAGAGTCGGACGCCTCTCTGGACCTCCAGGTACTCCCATTGATGTTGGTTGCCACCGCCGTCTGTGCTGCGACTTGGAGTTCTTCGAGGGGTGAGTCTGCGGGGGCCTGCATGCGCGTCCGTCTGGCAGGTCGACACCGGACCACGTGGTGGAAGAGTGGCTCTAGCCCAGCTTTTAGGAGGGTCTCGTCCCTCGGTAGGGATATCCTGGAGGTGGCCCATTCCACGTCCACTGTTGACTGCTCGTTCCCTTCTGAGGTCTGCTGCCATCTAGTAATCTGTGCCACTATGGCGTCGTTCCGTTGTTCTGGTGTGAGTATGTGCAGGGCGTCGCTGGTGTCTGCGTCCCTGCCTCCCCAGCGTACCACAATGGATGGTGGGATCTGGGTTCTTTGGGGGCGGTCTGCTATGTGGGAACTGAGCCGCCACAAGCTGCATTAGGGGGGGGTCATTTTCCTCGTTATCACCGGGTTCCCTATGGGGACCAAATGCGTGATCATGCCGGCTGCTCGGTAGCCCCACTGGGCATTGGCTATGGCTATCAGTTCAGTCGGGTCGGGGCCTCCCGGCGTTGGGATTCCCTGCCCGGTTAGGGCGAGGATCCTGCATTGGCCATCGCCCGTGCTTGCTGCCGACAGCGCAGCTTGTATCTGGGTTGCGCTGGCATCCGCGATTAGGATGGTGGGGGTTGTGCCCCGTTCCTCCTCGGGAGTGGCTCTGTCGCAGACCAGTTCCTTGATCTGTTCATATGCACTGGGGCCTGCCATTGCTGGAGTGATGCCCGTGCTTATGGTGTCAGTGTCCCTCTGCAGTCTGTGGAACCGACGATTTCTGTGGGAGTGCCCAGAAGAGTGGTTTGGGGAGTGCCCAGGGTGAGTGCTCAGGGGAGTGGTCTGATTTCCCCCCCCCCCCCCCCCCGACGCTTTAAAAGCGCTCAATGAGTGTGAAAACCACTGCCCCCCCAAAGAAAAACTGAAATGTGAATCAACGACGTCTGATTTACTGAGGCCCCACTCTCTGAATAAGCACAGCGGATGCAAGAGATAAGGCGCGGTGGACATAGAAAGACAACGCGGGCAAGCATGAGGCATGTCAACGCTCCTCTTTTGTCGATTGCTGGTGTCTGGTGCTTGCACCCTGGATCTCTGCGACTCCTGGCTGCCACGAGCATGCCCGCGCGCCGTGCAGCATATATGCATCGAGTCGGGAGCGCAGCCTGGAAGACAGGGGGCGCACTGCACGCGAGAAGTGAGAGATGAGGATGCGTGCGTTGTCGCATATTAATACTAGTAGTATGATGATGAAAATTACTATTCGTTGTATTATTAATCTTCTTCGTCGTACTACTAGTAATAGTATCGTTATTAATGATAATATGGTTATTTGTTGTATCCAGAGCGAGTTTTACCACTACAAGTTTGTGCGCTGCGCGCGCAGTGGGCGGGGGGCTGGGGAGAAGGCTCGCGCTTGAGGTCAGCAGGGGCTCTCGGCGAGGCTACGAGTCGAAGCTCAAACTGAAATCTGGAACTTCAGAGCCTGCTCGCACCTGTCAGTCAAAACTTTGGGAAGGTTTCCTAGCAAGACCCCCTCGATCTGTTTGAAAGCATCCTTGCGCTTAGTAATCGCAGCCCGCAAAGAAACTTTATCCTTGGGCTTCTTGAACGCATGCAAAAAAAATGCCAGTGTAAAAAACCTCCGTGCACTTGATGATGACCTGCTTGCAGTCATCCTCGAACTCGCCCCCGCAGTCGAGGCAGAAAGCCTTCTCCATCTCCGCGACGCGAGCAAGCGCCTCGCGGAGAGGGGGGCAGCATTGAGAAGGCGGAGCAGCACGGGGCAAGTCATCGGAGGGCCCCCAGTGGTTATCAGGTGGGCGAACAGTGGCCATGATTTTTTTTTTTTTGGGGGGGGGGGGGCATGTACCTCCACCGCCACTCCCCGCCCAAAACGAAACGGCACCTGCCCCATTTCCCGCCCGCCCCACCAGGGGGCCTATGACCACCTACGAGCGGTTCAGTGTCCTCTTCATGTGACCCACGGATTTTCGAAAACAACCCGCAGCCCCCCGCGGGTGCCGAATTGCACCCAAGAGGGCCATCGATGAACCCTTATAGGGACCCTAAAAGATCCCAGCGCAGCTTTCAAGACGACCCGAAATTGCCCGAAGAGATCCAACGATAGCCTTAAGAGAGCCTCAGGCGGCCTCAGAGGGTCCCCGAGACTGCCCTACGACTACTCATACCCCAGCAGGCATCTTAAGCGGGTTGGCGGAATTGCGAGAGCTATGCTGGGTGAAGCGTTTGGGGGAGGATTCTTTGGGGTGGCCTGTGCGGTGCCCTGAGCGTCGGACCTCCTCGAATGGGGGGGGGGAAGGGGGGGGGGGGGGGCTCCCATCTCCATCCCCGCTTTACCTCCTCCACGCTTCACTCCTTCCCCCACCCCCTCCCCTCAACTCATTCACCCCCCCTTGTTCCCTCCCTCTTCCCCCCCTCTCCCTGCTCTGACCGCGTCCTTATCATCGCCCCCCCTGCGCTCCTCTTCCTATTGCTCCTCATGATCGTATTCCTCCTCCTCCTCCTCCTCCTCCTCCTCCTCCTCCTCCTCGCACCTCCTCCCCCACCCCCCTCCTCCTCACCGCTCTCTCCTTCCGCCCCGTGGCCGTTCGGGTCATTCATGGTGGCGCCCCCGATTTGCATGCCGCTTCGTCGATGGGCGGGGGAGGGGGAGGGGGGGGGGCAAAGGAAGAGAAGGAGGAGGAGAGGGAGGATGAGGAGGAGAAGGCGGAGGAGGAGGAGCAGCAGCAGCAGGAGCTCTTCCTCCCTCAGTCATCGTTTCGTAGTCGTCCTCCTCCTCCTTCTCCCTCCTCCTCGCTCTCCCTCCTCCCCGTCTCCCTCCTCATTTTGCTCCTGCTGCCTGCTCCTCCCCTGCAAGCTGGGGCGGGGATTTGCGTTGAGTTAGCCCAGTGGCACCGTGGTGGCGCCGTCGATCCCCTTCTTGAGGCCAGCAGTCCCTCTGTCCTGCATGATCGCCTTCTGCGCGTACTCGTAGAAGTCCGCCCACTTGTTGCGTTTGTTGTCCGCCAGGCCTTCCATCCAATGCCCAGCACCTTCGAGGCCGCCCTGCAAGGGGCGAAGACTCTCGATGACCTCCGCGGCAGCACTCTTCGCCTCCTCCAGCTTGGCACCACCCACGCTTCGCAAGCACTCGATGGCCTGGTGCCGAGTCGCCGTCAAGGCGGCCAGGAAGGATTATGTATTCTTCGCGGTCTCGATCTCCTTGGAGTGGTTCGTGAGCTGCCCGGTCAGGAATTGCAGCGTGGCCGTTGACGTAGTGTCGACCTCTTGCCGCTCTTGCCCTTCAGCGTTGAGTATCGCGTTGATGGTCTGCGTCAGCTGATGGGCGGAGCGCCCAGCCACCATGGCGCGGGCTATCTTCTGCTCATCGGTTTCGTTGTCCATGCCCAGGCTCTGCACCACATCGTCGATCACGCGCCCGATGCGATCGACCTCTGGAGCTGGGTAGGACGCCAAGGCACCGTCACACATGAGCCTCAATGAACTCCGTATCTCATTCTGCATCTCATCAGGCAGCCCAGTCAATGAAATGACGCCTACGAGCATCTCGATCTTATCGAGCTTGGCGATGGCGTCGCTGCCGTTCTCGATGCCACCGAACCCCTCGGAAATTGCCTTTTGCAGTGGTCGCGGACTGCATCTTGGCCATCAGCTCGACGAGCTCTGTCTTCCACTTCGGGATGCATGTTTCCATAGGGAAGCACGAGACACCAAGTTTCAATACTGATAGCGCCCCCTGAACTAGTTCCTGCCCGCGTTCGCTCTCACTCTCGGCCTTGGCTATACCGACAACTTGGCAGATGATGCTCATGGTCTTGTCGCACAGCCGTTTGACGCACTGACCTGGGACAGCGAAGACGACCGCTGGGAGCATCTTGAGGATCTCCTCGACACCGGATGCAAGCTCGTAGGGGCTGAGCTGCATCTTCGCGTCAATGTCGGCGCTGATGTCCACGTACTTGGGCCGAGCATCGTTGATCTTCGCAGCGTTGGTCATGGCGGTGGCGAGAAGGTCACGGTAGAAGTCTACGTTTGCGACCACGAGGGCCACCGATTTGATCACGCTGGACTTGCGCTCTGTGTCGCTGATCTCCTTGAGGTCGTTCATCGCATTCTCGCCAGCGTCGCCGTCGAGGAGCTTCTCCATGTCGAAGAGGGTGTCGATTGCGTTGGCAACCGTTGTGATCTCGCAAAGGAAGGCAGACGTGTCACCCAGGTCGTCGCATTGCTCCATTGTCGACTCAGCCCAGTCGTGCATGTGCTTGCACGTGGCGCGCACGAAGTCCTCGCCGTTGCTGCCCTCGCCCATGAACTCACCCAGAACGCTCCTGATGAAGTGCGCCCTGAACTTCTCAAGCTTGACGGGAAACTCCCCGCCGACGAGCGTGAGGCGTGGCTCGAGCGGGTCGAACTCAGCGGTCCTGGGGTCGATCATGTCGCCGTCGATCTTGCAACGAATCGGCCATGGCCAGCAGTGCTCCAATAACTTCGGCACGTCCACTGGGAATGTGACCTTCGTGCACCTGGACGTCGCACCATAATCCCATATGTCTAGTTGGACGGCGGTCGGGATCTTCATGAGTGATTTCACCCTGTCGTATGCTTTCTGCAGCTGGTCGGGTGGAAGGCGTTATATTGGATTCGGCTTGAGTGATGCTGCAAGCACGTAGTCCTTCATATGCGTATGAAGGTTCCCCGCCATCTCCTTCGTATCGGGCTTGGCGCTCCAACTCTTGACGCGAAGGCCTGCATGATGGAACACAACCCCATCCTTCCCCTTTCTCAGAGCAACCTCGAGGTTCAGCTTCTTGATGTACACGTCTGCCTGGTCACCTTGATCGGCGTCGCCGCCGACCTGGCTCGCGGACCCCCCCCAGGTCATCTCCGACCACTGACTGTTCCTTCACGCACTTTTCGAGGTCAGCGGCAGACCGCCCCCCGACGACACTGCTCTTTCCTCTGGTCCGACCTCCGCGCGGCAGAACCGCGCGCGACTTGTCGCCCAACGTCGACCCCTCCTCTGAGAAGGAGCCCTGGAGTGGAGGAGTGCTTCCAAAAGGGCTGGTGGCCGCCAGTGTCGTCGGGCTGGGCAAAAAAAGCCACCGCTGCCGCTAGACGCGGCGGCAGTGTGACTACCGTGGTAGGCTGCAGAATAATCGCTCAGCTCTGGGGCGCCCAGCTGCGCGCCCATCTCGAGAATGGTGGAGCACTTCGAGTTCATCGCGTGTCCAAGCTCGTCGCCCGCGAGCCTCTTGTCTGTGTCCACCGACCACTTGTAGAAGCCCTTCCCCTGCCCGTTGTAGTAGCAGCATGCAGGGTCCAGCATGGCCGTCTTCATCGCGGAGCCCACGGTGCTGCTTGTCTCCACCGTGCGAAGAGGGCTGTTCGGCTCCCAGGCGAAGAGGGACACCGTCTCCTTCACTCCCGGGACCGCCTCGCACGGCACGTTGAGCTTGGGCTGCTTCGAAGTATCCTTCACCGAAGGCCTCTTCCCGAACACGTTGGAATATTCAGTTTCATTCATTGCGAGCCACTTCCGATAGACGCGGATGTCCTGGGTATCGTTCTTGATCACGGTCGCCAAAGTGATGGGGCCCCTCTCAGCGGAGGGTTTTGCCCGATTGCGCTTGGCAAAGTCCCACTTCTCCTGGATGCCGTCTTCGTCGTTCCTCAGCGCGGCAGGGGGTGACGCCGCTGGGATGTAGCTGAAGCAGTCGCAGTGCGCGCCAGCACCGTCGCAACACATGGGTATCTCCAGGCCGCCGTCGGAAAAGACAACGAAGTCCCTGTCTGCCTGCGGATTGACGTGGTAGCACATACAAGAGCAACCGATGATCAAGAGGACGGCACGGGCCCCAAGGGATACAGGGCCCCACGAGAAACAATGCCAACAGGGCTTCAATTAACCCTCTCCTACTTCTCCATTTATCCTCGCAATCCGTCTTCCAAGACGGCGGATGGCGAGGAGATGTCTGTCTCCCCCCTCCCCCCCCCCTCCCCCGTCACCCTTCCTCCAGTATCCTCCATTCGTGTTTCCTTCCCTTTCAGTCCTGGTCGACGTGTGCGTGGCAGATGCAGCACTGGCTCCCGTCGTACTCCTGCTGCTTTCGCAGGGAGGGCAGCTCGGCAGACTTGCGTGCGGTCCGTTTCGTCTTCCCCTTTGGCACGGAGGAGCTGACCTCGGATGCTGACCGCTTCCCGCCCATGATCTATCGAGGCACTCGGGCCCTCAAGGTCTCTGGTGTTGTCTTAGATCAGTTGAGCCACAAAGACTGTGGTCGGCAAACATCAGAGCACGGCCACTCTTACACCCCCCGTGCCCCGCGCCAGGAGGAGCCAGGGGCCTCGTTCAAGTGCAGACTTTGTTCTGATGTCCCTTGACACGTTGCGGCCCCCTTGGGGGCGTCTTGACGTCCGCAGGGCGAAGGAAGGTTGGAGAGGCGGACGAATAACGATAAGGAGAAGCAGCAGCACGAGCAGCAACAGGAATACATCATGACACATCCCCACGAATTTGGTAGCGGACGGAGTTGCGACGCGTTCTTACGATGCACGTTTCTTTTTTTTGGGTGGGGGGATTGCAGTGCTCGCTACGTTGATGTGACCATTGTTCTGGCTGCAAGCGCGTGTTCTACATGGGAAGTCTATGTAATCTGGGCTCGAACGGGCTGTGCTACCCCAAGTAGATTAGTCATATCGTTCGACCCCGCTGCCTGCGAAGTTCCGAGAGGGTCGAAGAGCTGGCGCCATCCCACCTGAGGCTGCGAGCAGCTCGGCCGCCATCCAGCCCCAGGCGGGAAGCGCTGCCAACCCTTCAACCACCTGGCCAAGCGCAGAAGCTCTCTCGGCCCGAAAGGCGCGCGCCCTCGGGATCCTGGAGCTCCTTCACAGGGGCATGGCCCTCCACTGGCAGGGGCCTGCAGCCGCCCTCCGCGGTGAGGAACCTGGACCCCCTTCCTAGGTGCATTCGGTGCCATCCCAGGGCGCCAGGGCCCGAAAAGCAACCCAAAAGCCTTCCAAAAAGCATTCAAAAAGCACTCCCAGGGCACTCCTGGCACCCCCCCCACGGCCAGAGCATTCAAAAAGCACCCAAACAGCACTCCCAGAGCACTCCTGGACCCCCCTCACCACCACCCCTCTCAGAGCGAGAGCACCCCAAAAGCACACCAAAAGCACTCCAAAAGCACTCAAAAAGCACTCCCCAGAGCACTCACCCCCCCCCCCCCGCCAGGGCTCCTGGAAAGCACCACCCAGAGCACTCCCCCCACCCCAGGGCTCCTGGAAAGCAATCCTGGGAGCACTATCGGACCGCCCCTAGTTGGTGTAAGGTGCCCCATATGGGCACTCTCGGAATGCTCCTGATTTCCCGAACCACTCCTGGGACCACTCAAGCACCCCAGAAGCACTCAACAAGCACACGAAAAGCACCAAAAAACCCACAGGAATTCCCAGGGCGGAGGGAGTGCACCCAGGAGCACTCCTGAGCGTGCCTGGGGTCTGCCGAGTGATCCCTGGAGCTCTCGGGCTGTGAGCCCTGCTGGCTGCAGGTGCCCCCTGGAGCTCTCGGGCTGGGGGCCCTGCCAGCTGCCAGCCCCCCCTCTCCCTCCCCCTCCCTCCATTTCCCCCGCGCGCCCTCCCTGGCCTCCCCGGTCTCCCCCCCCCCCCCCACACACGCACATCCGCGCTCGACTCCCCCTCCCCCTCCTCTGTCTTCTCCTCCCTGCCCCCTCGCCTCCTCAGCGCCGTTTGTTTTTTTCATGGAGTGCCTTCGGGCTCCGACTCTTGCCCGAGCCGAGGGCCCCGCCCCTTGCCCCTTAGGGCCCCAGCAGCAGCGCCGCCAAATTCGCAAAGCCTGCTGCGCGCAGCCTTGCGCGTCACCTTAGGAAAGCAGTGCTTCACAGACAACCTGTCTTTGTGGTCTGTCCCATCTCTGACGCACTGCGGGCCGGCCTCGAGCCAGGCTGCTAGCAAACCTAATGGGCGCCCCTGAGGTCTGGCGGCGCCCTCGTACGAGGCCCTCGAAAGCTTGCACGACTTGCCCGATGCTGATTTCGGGCGCGCCCTACAAATTGCCTCAAAGCGGCGGTGCTTGTACCAAACAATCTCACCGTCAGCAAACTTGCACACTACTTCTGCCCTGTCCCGACCCGCCCCTTCGATGAGCGAACGACGCTCAGAAACCTCGGATGGCGGTGCAGGCGGCGGAGGCATTGGAGGTGGCGGCAGAGGAGGCTCATCAGGGTCTGCAGGAGGCCCAGGCGGCGCAGGGGGAGGGCTGGGCTCACGCGGCCTGTCCCAGCCGTGGCCGCGGCCCCTGGAGGAGCCCCCGCCGTCTCTCCCCAACTCGCCTCCGCGGTCGCCGTCGCCAACACCGCCGTCATCGGCGCCGAGGTCCACCCCCAGCTCGTCGATTGCAGACGCGGAGTCCACAGAGTCCACCTGAGCATTGCAGCAGCTCGGTTATGCCTCCACCTCGTTTGCACTCCAGCTTAGCACTTCCAATCGTCGGCTGCGGCCTGCGGCCATCGCCGAATAATGGAGGTGGCGAGCCAACCGTGCAAACGATCAGGAACAGAACCGAGCCACTCCAATGCACCTCGCAATCGCTGCCACGCGGGTCGTCGGGGTCGCCGCCGTCGCCCGAGCCTGAGAGGCGGCCGTCGCTGTCGGAGTCCGACTCCGAGGAGGCGTCGTCGGACTCGTCGGACACATCCTCGACCTCGCTACCGTCGGGGTCGCCGTCCTTCAGCGCGCGAGGTCCACCCCCTTGCCGCCGTCGGCTGCCGCGGCCGCACCAGGAAGCAGCACCTGCAGCAGCTGGAGGTTTGAATTCAACTACCGCGATGTCGGCTGGGCGAAAGCGCACGACCCGATCGCACTCCAAGATCTGGTACCAGTGGATCTCCCACTTGAGGTGTGGGTCCAGCTCGTGAAATGCAAACCAATCCAGCAATTTGGTGGTGGTTGCCTTGCGGTGGCACCATGCAATGGTCGCATCCTCCACTTCCTTTCTTGCCCCCCCCCCCCCCCTGTCGTCTTCAAAATCCTCCATCCTCCTTGGTCCTATCCTCATCCCCCCCTCCCTCCTGGAAGCTAAGTCAGAAGTGCGATGTTTTTTTTTTTTTGGGGGGGGGGTCAGGTCCTGGGGCCCCTGGACCGTCTGAGCGAGGCTCTTGCGCAAACTTGGACGCTGCGAGGAAGGTCTGCGCGGGGAGGGGCAGGGGTAGGAGGTGGGAAGGGGGGGGGGGGGGGGGGGGGGGGGCGCGGAGATCGGGGGAGGGCCGTGGATATCGGAAGGAGGGGGAGGACGGAAAGAGGAGGATGAGGAGGGGGAGGTTGCGCCTACTGAACTAACATACCGTTGCGTGGTTCAAAAAATGGCTTAAGTATGAATGCTTTGAAGCACGGGGTTAGGGGGAGATAATGCAAATTTCGAATGCACCCAGCCTCGAAGTTGATCTCCTCTAAGGCGCCGTCCCCGGTTTCCCCGACGGCCTGGCAGACGCGGAATCCAGACCAGTAGGGCTTGAACGAGTGGATGCTGATGTGCATCCATACGTCCTGCGCCTTCGCGCGCCCGTCGCCAGTGGCGATGTCCCACGGTGGCGCGAGAGCTGCAGCGCCGATGTCAGGAACCAGCTTGACAACCAACTGTCTCTGAGCCAGCAGCTGCCGTCCAAGCGTGTTCTTCCTGGTGGCCTGCTTCAGCGCCGCGTAGAACCAAGCCCTCACCTGTGAAGTCTTCGCCCCCTCTTGCCGCACATGCACAGGCCGACTTGCCAGCGTGGCGGTATCGTGGGAGGCTTCTTGGCCTCCTCGCAGATCGGCTTGCAATCGTTGTGCATGATGGGCTTGTGCAGCTCGCGCCACTGCTGGTACAGCGCCGATGCCGGGTTGCTCTGCTTCGCGGCTGCCGAAATGCTGATGGCTGTCTGGACACTGTCTGCAGTTGGGTGGAGCATGCGGAAGTCCATAGTCAATGCGTTCGGCAAGGGATTCAGGACGACAGGATGCTTCACTAAGGGCGGAAGGTCGTTGCACTCGAACATGTTATCGGTGACGCCATTATGCACCCACTCTGCGGTCCACGACTTTAACTGGCGCAGCTCATCCGTGCCCGACTGGTCGACCTTGGCAGCCGCATCCCGTTTGATGCGCTTTGCTAAGGCCACGGCTTGCATTAGGTCGACCTGCCCACTCGCGCACACCTCCAACGCGTGCGCAACTGCAGCGTCGCACGATGCGGTCATGCCGATAGGGCCTGCTGAAGAAAGAACGCCCAGGGCTGTCGACGCCATTCCAGTTTGGATTGCTTTGTTCTGGGCTCTGGTGAGGCCCCTGGTTTTGCATCCGAAGCTGCTTCCTCTGTGGTAAGGGTTGCGGGCTGAATGGGTTGCAGACTTGCCTACGTCCACAAGCTTGGCGAACTCGTCGGGATTCGGGGCACGGTGCCGCTGAGACAAGCCCGACATGTCTTGGAGGCCGTGCTTGCCTAAACTCTCTTGGCGAACCCAAGCTCGCCAAGGTCCCCCTGCTCCCGACGAAGTTGGCTTGCTCACGCCGCGGCTCAGTCGATCTGCCCCCGCACCTCCAGCGACATGTGGTTGTTGAACTAAGAACGGTCGGCCAAACCTTCGGACGCGATCCATCACGTACTCAGCGGACAACTCTTGCAGACTTTCGGCGTTCGTCTGCACCCCTTTAGTGAATACCCTCCTTCGGATTGCTGCGTGCGCCGCTTCAACGGGTGATATGTTCAGCTTCAGTAGGCGAGCATGTAGGAGGAGGTATGCCAGTGCTTCATCACAATCGATTCCA